AAAAACCCTCCTCTTCTTCCCTGTTAGTTCAAAAAAACATCCAGAGGTTGATCCATGCTCAGAAACCCAGCCTCCCTCAGTAGAAAATAAACACCTGCTACTACTTGCTCTCCTATCCCTCTCCTTGTTGGATATGTCTGTGAATCCACAAGCACGATGTCGCAAGGACTGCCTCCCCACGACCAGCAATTAGATTTTCTTGTTTGAGCAATAATCCTCAGTAGCAGCCTCTCCACAAGGACGCAGAGATAGTGAGTTCTGATCTGTTCTGTCTGCTCCCTGACGCGCGCCGTTTCTCTTTCTTTCTGTCTCTTTCTGTTTTGAAACCAGTGTTTTCTGACACAAGGTGTACTGAGACTGTGTCAGTGCAGATCACTCAGTCACGACGCAGCCTGCTGAACTGACTCATGCTCAGCGCTTATTGAGCTCTAAAAAGACTGTGATTATGCCCAACTTTCGTTTTCATTTTAGTAACAAAGTCGTGCCCGGCACTTTACTTATTTGTGAGATCCAATACCCAGGTCTTCATACTTACTTTATTCCATGCTCATATTCGTTTCCTGGCCTGGTATCATGCTGCTCATTGTTCAGTGTTTTCTTTATCGTCCCAACCGGTTGAGGCAGATGGCTTCATTCCTAAGACTGGTCCTGCCAGGCTTTGCTTCCTGTTGAGTTATTTCTTCCCACTGTCACCCTGTGAATGCCCAGGAAAGGGACTGGATCAAAAGAAAACTTACAACAGAATTGACTGGTTTCCTTGGCTTAGAATGACGTGGAATCATTTGGAAAGGAATTAAATTAGATGAGATCATTGGATTCCGATTACTTGGCCTTTCACTGCCATAAATGAGGCTGTATCTTTACATGAGACTGTTGTATACAACTGCTTTTGCATCTTTTAAAAATGCATTTAATCTTTTGTCAGTTGAACAATGCTTTCTTATTTTTCCTTTAAAGTTAATTTCCCGCAGCAATCAACGACTTGAATTTAAACAAGACTCTTGGAAACTTTAAAAGAGCTACTACCTTGTCAACCGGGTGGCCAAATAGTTAAATATTTCTTTAAGAAGTCGGCTGAGACTTAATTAAAAGAAAAAAACAGCAAAAAAGAAATAAACGATTTTACATCAACAGCCACTGACATTGTGAACATTTCTTTAAGTCCCTTTATGCTTCTTCCAAGTGGTCAGCAAGTACCGGTAGTTGGGTTTGGAGCAGATTATACACCTTACAATGCTTATGAACCTTTTTCCAACAATCAGTTTTTCACAGACCTTTGAAATACTGGAGGTTTGTAAATAAATTTGGCAAAGGTCCATGAATTTGTGGGGCTGATTGTGTGGGAGGGTTGAGCTGGTATGGATGAACTAGCTGAACAAAAACAGGATGAGGTGTCGGTACAGACTGGAGGAAGAGGGTCAGAGTGGCATCCTAAATAAACAGACGTGGATATCATGAAATGTACCTTTAACACACTCAAAGCCATAATTGGCAAAAAAGGGCAAGAATGAATATTTACTTTATGACTCCATATCCATTTGCAGTGGATTTGATTGAGACCGCAATGTTTATGTCCCGTTTCCTGCCGTAGTGCCATGATATTATACAATCAGAACTCACTCTCAGACTTGTGTTTGGAGGGCAATGCGATAAAACAAAACACACCCTCACACAACGCAGAGTTACATAATTATCCATTCCAGTAATCTGCAGGCCTCAGATATGTCCTTGGTAACAGTCACTATAGCACCAATGAAGAAATGTGACGATTGTATAACAACCTCGACACCTTCCAACGAAGATAAATGTTGAATATTTGACTTAATGTCAAATGCAGTCATTGTTGATAATAGGGTTTGCACTCATGTATTTCACATGCCAGCATAACGACTAATGTCATGCGTCTTTTATTTCACACTTTTGTCTAGTAAAGTTTAAAGCACACCTTTCACACCAAGAGCAAAACAAAATTTATTGTTTTTCTGTGGAAGCATCAATGAATCCCTAAAGATTTACCTGTTGTTGACGTCCAGATTATTAAATCAGAACACCTGACATACCATCCATCCATCCATTATCATAACTGCTTATTCCCTAATGGGGTCGCGGGGGGACTGGAGCCTATCCCAGTGGTCAACGGGCGAGATACACACTGGACGGTCCGCCAGTCCACCACAGGGACACACAGAGACACACAAGGACCAACAACCACGCACACTCACACTAAGGGCAGTTTGGAATGTCCAGTCAACCTAACATGCAGGTTTTTGGATGGTGGGAGGAAACCAGGGAACCCAGAGAGAACCCACCAGACACAGGGAGAACATGCAGACTCTACCTGACATACCATCTACAGTCCATTTTCTCTTCAAAAATAAACTTTTGTCTTTTAAAAGCAGTTGCCATAAGATAATTTAATTAACATAAATAATAAAATAAAAAGAAGTGTCTCATTAAAGTTTGCAGTATTATTGCATTCATTCATTCGTTTTTTTAAAAACTGTAGGGTGAGGAGAGCCAGCACACCCTGCACAAAAGTCTTCCCCCAAAAGCCAAGCTGCAATGAAAAAAAAATCCTTTCTTGTTAAAAAAAAATTCAATTTCATTTCAGTAGTTCCGGCAAAGGTTCCTTCCTCTCTGTGAACTGCACTTAACTATTTCCCCCAAACATCTGAATACACCAAATTTAATCTATTCAGTCACAACACGCTGAATAAATAATGAAGCAAAAAGAAAATGTCAATTCAGTCTGAATATCTGTTAGTTTCAGTTATGTTGCCATGGTAACTGCTACTTTAGCCACCTCCGTTCTCTTTAAACCTCTTAAATGTGCTGTTGTTTCATTGTGTGATGGTACTGTGATTGTTTTGTTACTGTTAACATTATGAGATGCTGAACTAACTAACTGAACCAACAACTTTCTGTCATTACTCTTGATGTTGGTGCATTGAATTTTCCGATTTTCCTTGATACAGACAATGTTACTCAGCTCAGAGACTGCAGTAAAGGTTTTTTCTCCATCTTGGATGTTAAAGGATGATAGGTAATGGAACAGTGTTGTAATTTTTGTCAACTGAAAAATACTATTTACCCAATGTTTTCACTCAACTGTGTTCTTCAAATCATTTTTTTTTCCAACTCACATTCCTCACACCTCTTTGAGAGTACAGTAAACTCATTGTGATTCAGAGTGTCAGCATCTGTTACGGAATAAAAGTCTTTCAGCTGCATACAATGGGTGAAACTGCAGTTTTGCCTCTTATTCTCTGGAGAACGATCATAAAAACAAGGTTTATACACTCAAATAAATCAACACAGGGTAAATTAATGGGCTGTTCTAGTGGTGATATTTTATGATAAAAAGAACCAGTGATTAAAGTAACATTATTCACATCATCTTCTCTGACTCTTGAATTCTGCTCTTTGTTATTGGAAGACTATATATGTATAAATAAGAGTGAATATTCACAATTGCATCCACACACGGCCCAACAGTGAGTCAGTCAGTTATCACAGCGGAATCAAGTGACATGATGACACAACTGCATACAGATTCATCCACAACAACTTCCCTATGGCTTTGTTTTTCCAAAGAATTGGAACTATTCACAGTAAAAACAGTGAATATCAAGTAACCACAAAAACACAGAAGCATGCAAATTAGGGCTATTTTCTGAACAGCCCCAATCTGCTCTGCACTCAATTATATGACAGCCTTGTGGATCTCCACAGAAAACCTCAGATAAACTCTGTAACTGGTCACTGCTTCCTCTGTGGTGGATTTTGACGTCAGGCCTGGCCTCCGGACCACAGCTTCACTTCTGTTTCTCTAACGAGGAGCGCCTACAGATATAAGGGGGCCGCACCGAGGCAAACAAACACTTCATGCCTGTCCTGCGTAATCAGAATCTGTGGAATATTTTGAAAGTTGACAGGAAGCTGTCTAAACGAGAAAAACAGAAAGAACAAAACAAGAGCTTTCGTACAACACTTTAAGCGTGTTTGGTTTTAAAGCAAAACGATTTCAGTGTGATACGCAGACACAAATCAACTGTCACAACAGTCAAGCATTCACAACCACGTACACCCAGACACACACTTCCTCCTTAGTCTAAGGACACGGTGTACCTACGACCACATGACATCACTTACACATTAACAGACACGAACAGTCTCTGACTCGCACCGCTTGGTTGTTTTTTTTTAACTCAGTGACTGTCAGAACGTCACAACAAACTGAGTTTTTAACTCCAGACAGAGAAAAACCTCTGGGACCTGAATGTAATGCCTCTGTGCAGCATGTTTCCCCTCCATTAGATTTAAAGTAACATGTGAGGAGATTGTGGATCTGATTTATCTTGAGAATCATGTACACGTCGCTGCAGTGTGCCACGTCATTTCTTTAATACAGCTATAAAAGCATGTGAAACGGTGGAAGCTGTTGGGGCGTGATTCATATGGCCTTTCTGTTTATGAATCGGTGAAAGTAGCAAACGGTTCAACGTTAACGAGTTATTTTATGGTATGAAAACTTTTACTGGATTCTATTACGTAAAACTTTGGCCACAAGCCAGAACATTGTACTATTTTCGTAGTGTGATGCATAGAAAAACCTAGGTGAACTATACACGTCTGCATCTGTACAGCTACGACCAAAACCTTTGTACTTTGCAACAAAACATCCAGATATTAGTCACCGGACTCTTTGGAAGTCAGTTAGTCACCTGCGGTTCACAGAGATGCATCAGCAGTTTTCAGAATATTCTATGTAAACCTGGTTCTCTATGTACGTTAACCCACACACAAACTGGGACTTTTAAGTGATGGACCTGGTGCAGTATTTTCCCCAAGGACACTGAAAAAGGAACAGAGGAAAATGGGGATCAAACCAGTTATCTTTAAGTTTTAAGAGTGACCACTGTCTCCTGAGGGAGTAGGCCCCTAGCTGATCACACATTTCAGCATTAAAAAATAAATACATAAATTATCTAAAAAAGTAGAATAACAAAAAGAGAGTATGTTTTCATTAAGGATGCCTCAGCATCCCTCACCGAAACCCTGTCCAGACACCACCCATAGCATAATGCTGCCACCACCATGTTTTCTTTTTAGGGGATAAATCATGGCTGTGTTCAAGACATAAGAAGTTTTGGGAAATCAAACAAAAACAAAAATATGGGATGAATATCCATGTTGGAGGAAAACAACACAATACATGTAGTGTTCTTTTTTTAAATGAAAGATATGAAGTGATCGATTCCTCTCTGGGTTTGAGTTAGCCAGGAGACACTGACCACACATCGGCACCTTAAGCTGTAAGTTCTCCAAAGTTTATTGATCTGTTCAGGGTAAACAGTTTGCTACCTTAACAGTTCCTTCATGCATCTGCACTATGATTATTTAAATTCCATAACTTCAAGGCACACAAAATGATTCCCCCATTCATTAATCCCATTTGCTTAGAACTGACGGTTGTTTTCACAGTAACTGATATTTAGTCTCTCTTAGCTTAATGCAAGGCTTTGTTTGTGACAGCACAACCCCAGCGAATTACTCCACCACACATGCAGGTCTGTGGGCAGATGGCACTTCTTCAGTTACATGAAAAGGCTGGATTTGACCTCTCTGTGACTCGTGTCACATGGATATCTCTTCATTTCAGTCCCTTTTTTCCTTTCCAGAGGAGTGAAAGTCGTCGTCCTCATCAAGTGGTCCACATTAACCCCCAGTGATCAATTTATTCTGTGTGCGAGAAAAACAAATTAGGCTCTAATTTGAGTGATTAAAGGAGTGAGTAGTACATTTCAGCGGAGCTGCTCGTACTTTCTTGGCGTTGTCCACACACTGCATGTAAGCCGATGCGATACCCGAGCAGGACAGAGTCTTCCCCGTGTTCTCCTTGTAGCATTTCAATATCTCACCCTGCAAGTCTCCACACACTGGCTGAGTATTAAAACGCCTGAGAGGAGATGGCATAATTATTATAATATAAAATACAAAAAAGGGAAAAGAAACTAAGAAAATCATCAAGAATAATAATACCCTGCAAGTTATCACTAATAACAATTGTCATTTATATCATGCTACAAAACAATTTTCATCACATCGGTGACACTTCATTTACGCAGAATTAAACTTGGATAAATAAATAAACTAAATTAAACTCACGGAAAACGACTGTGAGTTTCCTCTTTGCCTTTCTGGAAGCTCTCTGCAGACACTTTAGAGAAGTCTGCATACTGTAGTGGGAAAACACACAAAATAAACTAAAGAAATTCATATCATCGTGGATAACATGACACACAGAAACTGAACTATCATTAGGGAGGATTGCTTTAATTTGACAGTGGACTAGTTATTTATCAGCTCTCTGATGTTAATGGGTAGATGAGTGTTACTGCCCCTTAGTGGCCACACAGACAAAGACACTTTTCTGAACAGCTTATTCCCAAATGACGACGCTGGGGGACTGGAGCCTATCCCAGTAGTCAATCAGAATTTAGAAACATGTAACAACGTGGGACATTTTTCCAACTTTAAAAATGAGTAATAATGGAAAGAAAATTTCAATATCTTAATAAGATGAGATTGCCATCTTCTCCTGAGAGATGATGTAAAAAAATCATATTTGTATTTTGAGACCACTATAATATACACCTCAAATAAAAGGACCCGCTCTGGGGAGCTCCGGTTATTCATTTCCTAAGTACTAGATATTAAATGAATTTGCTTCTTGCTTTTAGTGCAAAGCAGAGATCCAATGAAAGGCTGCCCACTCATTTGTGCCCGTTCAAGACAGTCATCTCTCAAAGCTCTTATGTACCATCACTATTAGTGTCGTTCTCTGCAGGGAATCTAAGGAATTAATAAGTGAACAACAGACACATGTTCATTTAGTGAGTATCCAACGACTAAAACCCAAGTTCCAAAATAGTAGTTATGCAGAACTAGATTTAAACCAAGGCGGAATGTGATAATCTGAAAATCTCGTTCACCAAAACCTTATTCAAAATAGATATTGAGCATTCTTGTTGAATGCCGGATTAATTCATGGAAAATGTCAGCTCATCTTGGATTAGAAAGCAAGGGCACATTTGAAAAGGCAGCGAAAAGAAGGAACAACAGGTGTACATAAAGAGAAACGTAGATAATAATGTACATTGCCATTAGGTCAGTAACATGACTCTTTTGGGCTGCAGTTGTAGATCATTATTTAAGACTTATTTAATCAAGGTACACAACACAAGAAAAAAAATATGTCTTGTTTGAAAAGTGCAAACAATTCTGAATATCATTAACTTGAACTTACCTTTGCTTCCATTTTGGAAAGATGTTCCTTGTAGAGAGCATCTCGCTTCTTCATTTCCTTCTCTTTCTCATCCAGCTGATTGGCCTGCACAAGTTCAATATTGGAGAAAAAACAGTCAGTGCTGACATACGGTGATGTGAGCAAGATGGAAGTAAAGGAAGTCTTACCTTCAGCTCCATCCACTGAAACAGCAGCAGGAGGAGAAAAAAAAACACACAAAAAAGAAGCACAATGAGAGAGGGACAGCGTTCATCTTAGTGAGACATCCTAATGTGGTCCATCTGTTGTGCTTACATAAAGCTGCACCATCAGCTTCTCGTCCTCTGACTTGGCGCGCTCCTTCTCGATGGACTCCGTCAGCCTCTCCATGTATGCTGCTTTGTCTGCCTCCAGGGTCTTCCTCACCTGCTGCTCCACCTGAGCCTGGACTTCTGCCTTTGCCTCTGCCTGAACCTGTACCCTCAACTCTTGCAGTCTACACAAGTTCAAACCATCAAGTTGCCACGTTACATTAATTTATGCACATAATTTATTTAAAAAGAAGAAAAAAAGGTCTCAATCAACTGTTCTGTCATTTCTCATTTCAGGTGATTTCAAAACTATCAAATCAATTGATGATATGGCTTTTATTTGGGCATCTGGCAGAATGGAAAAATAAGTCCTCATAGCAAAAAAAAAAAGTAGCACAAAAGTAGAAAACTCACTTCTTCTGAAGCTCCTGCCTCCTCTCGCTGATTTCCTCTTCCAGACGACTTAGCATCTCCACTTTGACCTTCTGCCTCAGTTCTTCCTCCACCACGGCAGGAGGAAGTTGCTGGGCTTCAAGCGGGAAAAAAAAGGGGGTTCATTCATCTATCTGCTGATTTAGAGTTTTGACTGTAACTGTTTCCAAGTTGTGTGTGTGTGTGTGCGTGTGTGTGTGTGAGATTTCCTCTGACCCTCAAAAACATTCATGTTAATTTAATCGGAGATTAACTCTTTTGTTTGTAGGAAGAGCTCAAAGAGCCGGTAATTAACAGGCATTTTGTCAAGCACCACCCACTGGATTCTATGTGAGGAGCCCAACTCACTGGTGGCAGGTGGAGGAACTGTGTCCACAGCAGGTGTTTCCTCTACAACAACAGCCTGGGGTGGAGGTGTGGTCGTGGGAGGCTCCTCGGATGGTGGAGCAGGATCAGGAGCAGGTGGTGCTTCCAGTTCTGGAAGGGGTGACATTACATGCCCATCGGTGGGTGCAACAGACATCCAGCTATCAGTAAAAGCTCACATGGTCCATACAAACTTTTTGGCATCGAAGTCATTGTTTCAGAATGACTAAACAAGAAAAACAAGAAAACCAAAACAAAAAGGCTGTGGCCTCAGGCCAAACACCACTTCAGGTGAGAGGGGCCGGCCTCATACACAGCGCAGATTCATCGTAGACATGTCTTACTGGAGATCCGGTTCTAAAACCGACTCCTCCCCCAACACCGACGCTTAAAAGCAGCTTCTTTGCAGACACTGCAACACTGTGCTCAGTGTGACACGACTCACTCACTTGCTGCGGGCGGAGGCACCGCGAACACGGTGGGTACGTCCTCCTCAAAAAGAGGAGGCGGAAATGTGGGCACGGCGGTCTCCTCGGAAGGCGGAGCTGGATCAGGAGGAGGAGGAGGAGGAGGTGCTTGGAACTCTGGAGGCGCTTCGGGGTCAGGTGTGACAGTGGGTGAGACGGGGATCTCCTCACACGGGAGGGGGGCTGGGGTTTCCTCTGGAGCAGGAGGAGGTGCTGGAGCAGGAGGGAGCTCTAGAGCAGGAGGAGGTGCTGCAATGGGCTCTGCAGGAGGAGGTGCTGGAGCAGAAGGGAGCTCTGGAGCAGGAGGAGGTGCTGGAGCAGGAGGGAGCTCTGGAGCAGTAGGAGGTGCTGGAGCAGGAGTAGGTGCTGGAGTGGGAGGGAGCTCTGGAGCAGGAGGAGGTGCTGCAATAGGCTCTGCAGGAGGAGGTGCTGGGGCAGGAGGAGGTGCGGGAGCCACCAGTGAAAGTCCGTCCTGGACCACAGCCGATGGGAGGACAGGCTCTCCTGCTTCTGGCGGCAACACCAGGGCTTCAACTGGAGCCGGACATACAGGCGTCAGGGTCTCAACACGGGGAGGAAGCACGGCTGCTTCCACCGGCGAGGCCGGGGGGGCCGCCGGACCCAGGGGCTCGACAGCCAGAGACGTGGGCGTGACGAGTCCACAGGGAAGATCTGAAGGCACGGGTTCTGCAGGCACTCCCACGGCCGGAGGGGCGGGCAGGTGGACGCCGGGGGGAGGAGGTGCTGCCGGCTCCAGCGAGGCTGGAGGAAGGGCGTGAAACTTCACCGGAGGAGGGGGGACGAGCTTCACCGGCGGCGTGGGCAGGGCCTCCTGAGGAGGAGCAGGAGCAGCGGGAGCCGGGATGAAGGGAGGAGGAGGCGTCAGGAGAGGCAACAGGTGCTCAACGGACGGGGCGGGGACCGGGGTGGCCTCTGCAGTGGCCAGTGGAGTCTGAGGCTCCGCTGAGAAGTGAGGACAGCTGACATTGGATGAATGCTTCATCCGATCGATGACTCTGTCTGAAAGCTGGGGAGATAGAAATAACAAAAACTACTGGAATTGTGCACCCAAATGGGGAATCTACACTAAGATTAAGCCTACCCTTCATGCACTATTATGAATTTAACATGTAAAAATGGAAGGTCAGGGTAGACTTTCTTTAGAGCACATAGCTTTTAGCAATAAAGTTATGTAGGGTGACCTTTCTCACACTTAATACTTGGGTAAAACATTTTACATGAGTGGATTGCATATTTTAAAGACATTTGAATAAGCCAACATGGACAGATTATTGTGCTCTAGGAAAACTTGGCTTAAGAGGTTAATTCATCACTGAAGAACATTTCTATGTTCAAGAAGTCACAAGGAGAGGTGAGTGAATTAGACAAATGTCTTTAATAGCCATATTCCAGTAGAGACGCGTGTTTCATAGACTTGAAGGACATTTCACTAGTTAATTTTCTTGTCATGTTGAGTTGGAGTTCATAAGAAATGCCGTTCCACTCCACGTACCCCCCAGAACTCAAAGTTCCATGACAGCGAGATCCAACTATGTTCCGTCTATATTTATCTCTGGAGTCCAGCTGCTGACTTGGCTGCAGAACCACAACAAAACAACGGAACCCCGACTTTCTCAAGTGGGGGTCCGGGGGACAGGTCACGTGACAACTCTTCTCCCGTACCCCGCATCCCTGTGTGTGGGGGGGAGTGTGTGTACGTGTGTATATGGGTGGGTGCAGCTTTTTCACTCACCCTAATGCCCTTCACAAAAGCCAGTCCCCCGTCCTCCTCGTCGTCGTGGGGGAGGCGGCTCGGGCCGTTGCCCCCCATACTGCTGCTGTTTTCCCGCCGCGGCCGGTAGCTTCCACCGACTCTTTAATTCACTCCGAATCAACGTCCACACAACTCAACTCCCCACAACTGCATGTGTAACAACCACTAACCCCCCCGCCCACTATCTCACCCCCCCCCCCCATCGACGTACGAACAAAAGCGGCCCCCATTGGCTGGAGCCCAGCAGCGGCTCTCCTGATTGGTCCGCCCAGTTCCGGCGTCAGTGAACCGTAACAGGACAGTGTGTCCCAGCAGCCTGCTGGAATAAAAAGTTCCATACGCAGAAAAAAAGAAAATTTTAAAAGTACAACACAGTTTGAATTTCAGATACCCCTTTTTAATTGAAGTGGTAATGGAGTGTGAAGGTTTATTGAAGACAGACACTGGTCCAGCACACCTGGTGACATGACAAGGACACAGCCCCTCTGGAACCAGCAGGAGTAACAATGCTTGTGTGTATCCAGCTCCAGCTTTTCCTATGACATAATTGGCCTCGTTTTTTTCTGAATTAAATAACTTAGTTTAGACTAATCCTACCAATTACACGGAGTGCTTAGCAAATGAGCTGAAAGTTCCAAAAAATATAAATCTCTAAACAAGATTGCAGATATTAGGCAAAATGCACCATCTGACAGTGTGAAGGCTACTGAGGTACTAGTGGTCGGGAAAGGATGATCCCGATGATCCATATTTCTTTTTTTTTTTTTTTTTTTTTTGGATAAGTCTAAAACCATCTGTAAATTCTGCGACTGATGAAAAGTACAAACAAACAGATGAATGCCCCCCAAAGAGGGGTACAGGGTATTTACTGTGGATTAGATCAGACTTATCAGCCCAGCACCTGAGCTCTACGGTTAAAAGCTGCCCAGCTACACACGGGGGAAAGCTGAGAATGACTCAGGCTTAAAATCCCCTGATGCATGTTGAGTGACAACCAGGTCAGGACCAGGGATGAATTTCAGGTCCAAAACTGGACTGGAACAACATGCAGACTCGTGAACTCAGGACCTTCAATAAAGCACAACATTGAGTTGATTTTGGCCTATTCATGAGATCTTCTCACAGTTTCTTTTTTAAAAACATGTAAAAGATTGTCACCTTCTTCCTCCTCTTAACTGTTAGGGGGGGGTTGTATTTATCTAGGTGTTGAATAAATTAAAATATGCTGTCAAGTATGCAAGGACAATTATCCTAAAGGTACAAAACTACTCGAGGAAAGTTAAAAACAATCTCAAAGTCCAACACAGTGGTATATTTTCTAGTCCTCCAACAGTCTCTGCTGCGTCACTCCGCCTTCTTTTGCTTGACCTCAGCCCGCAGCGCCGCCCGCACGCTGCTCCACACCTCCGTGTAAAGCAGCGTGCCCAAAAACACCACGGCTGTGCCCACCCAGTGCCAGGCAGTGAAAGGGTTTTGGAAGTAAATGATGGAGAAGATGAGGCTGATGAACTTTCTGAGCGTCACCACCAGGGTGACGGTCAGCGAAGCGCACTCGGTGGTCAAGATGAACACCCCGCGGATGCACACATACCTTAAGAAAGGGTTAAGGTCTGCAACAGGCTAGTTGGTTTTGGGAGAAGCTTCTACACATAGAGCACTTTTCTGCAACATTTTGTATTCAAATGTTGATGTGATGTCTTTTTGTGTAACTTTGACTAGTGAATAGTTAAGAGGTAACTGTACTGGTTGCATATGTATAATTCATTTTACTGACTGGCTTCAGAAGACCAAAAATTAGGAATGCGTTTTCCAAGGTGAACTTTTTCTCAGTTTTGAACTAAAACAGGCAACAAAGAAAACAAATAAATAAGCAGGTTGAAAACTCAAGTTTTTTTTGTGTGCAGGATACTGTGTGATGACATTGATCAGCAGGTAGACCCACATCAAAGGAACAGTTCGCTCCAGCACTGGGATGAAAACCGGAGCTGTCAGATTAAAAAAAGGGGCACGTTTAGTTTACGTCTCTGATCCATGACACAGGGCCAAACCGAAGTGTTCCAGAGGCATTTTGGGAACTCACTGCTCTGATTGAAGAGGATGCAGTGGCTGTAGATGTTTGTGGAGAGAAGCAGGAAACCAGGCAGAGGAAGGAAGTGCTGCACAGAAATGAAACAGGCTTTTCTAAGTCAATCAAATTATTAGTGGCATTAGAGGAATACACAGCTAAACAATATCTGAAAAACCGTCAGTAAAGACCTAAAATCTGCCCCACTTTGGAGGCTTAAACCTGATTGTGTGAGTTGAAGGAAAACACACGTTGTAGAAGAGTGCCTCTTTGGAGTGTTTCCCGTACTGCTTGTACAGCGTCTCCTGGAAAATGCCCATCCTCGCAGACATCAGCAGGGCAAAGGTCAGCATAGCGATGCCTGCATCAACAGCAGCCCAAACCAAAAAAGGCCAGGAACCAAGTTAGAGGTGCTGACAGACATGGAGCACGCCACCTAGAAAAATCACTGATCTACTATTTTAATATTTCCCCCCCACACTCACCGATAAGCCAGTGCACAAAGGCGTAAACGCCATGGTCCTCTGATCCATCGCTGGATACATTCTGCACAAACAATCCAGCAGTGTGTCACTGCACTACTACAAAATCAAATTGAGGTTCTGTTAAAATGCACCAACTCCCAGGACGGAGAGCACATTGGCCGGCGTACTCACCACTTGTTTGGCAGACATGATGGTGCAAATGAAGATGCCGGCTGAAACCAAAGCTATGGACAGATATTTGCTGGCTGAATACCTGGGGAGAGAAAATGTGAGTCGCCATCAACGCACCGTAAAGCCGCCATGGCCTATGAGAGCCCCGCGGGGAGGACGTTACCTCTTCTTCAGGATGATTATTCCAAGAATCATGTTAGCGATTAGGGATCCCTGTGACGGAAACAACAGCAGACGGTCAAAAGAGGTCGGGTCAGGTGGAAGAAAAGCGATAACGCTAACACAGAGCGACACTTACTGATCTGAAGATCATGTGTAGTGGCATTGCAATGTTGAAGTTGAGAGCGTAGTTGTTGATGACGCTGACAGTGAAGAACATGGTCACCATGATAACGTAGTTGCTGAAAAAACAAAGAAAAAGTGGAGTTAGCTTCGGCCCGTCACTTCACCGGATGTGGGACGTTCAAATCCAGTCACCTGACAGGGATTGCTGGCTTCTTCCTCCCGAAGTTTGTTTCAAAGATGAAACCTTCTAAGGCGATGAACACAAACTGAGCAAAAGTAACTATGTTGCCGCATCCTGGAAACTCTCTAGACAGAAAAAAAAAATTGAGATCAGAAAAGGAACAATCCAACTTTAACAACATATGATAAGATTTGGGTTAACCTAGAAAGAGCAAAATGATTATATTGAACGTTCTCCAAGTGGAAATCAAATTTGTGGCCACTGAGTGAAAGTGGGCTTAATTGTTCACTGGATGACAAAAATAGCTTTACTCACTGACCTGGGTGTCCACAGTTACTGCCCCCCTCCTCTGTTGTGTATGATCTGCCTCAAATGCTGCCATGACTTCTCTATACTGCCCGTCTATACCGTCTATACTGTCAGTCTGAGAGGACTCTGATAATTTAAAAACCCTTTTCCTACCATTTGATGCTCAAATGGGACTCGTTGTGTCTCTCCATGGAAAGGCCATGGCATTTCATAATTCAGTCATCTGGATTTCTAAATAAAGGTGATCTAGAAATGAATTGGCCATTTTTTTCTCAGAACTTTTCTCCCCCAATCTGTGTGAATAGCTCAATGGACTACTTAAAGGACTGTAACTGTCTTAGATGCGACATGCTGATGAGTGAAAGGAATCTTTAATAATTTTAGAAAAACACCCTGCGGGCTATAAATAGAAAGCGTTGAAGGTGCTGACTGAGGGTTTCTCACACTGTAAAAACACGACAAAGTAAAATAACTCTGTGATCCGTGCTTATAAACACTGTTATGTAAAAACTCAGACTTGCTTAGCTACTGAGAACCTTTGTGTAGTCAAATCCATAGACAAATTCATATTACAATCTAGGTTGGTCACTGACCTCACAAGCAGCTCCAGAGACACCACATTGCTGCAACAGCCGACAAAAACCAGGACAACAGCAAACATGGTCCCCATGTTGGATTACTGGCCCGCAAACTCGACCACAAACGCGTCACTTGATGAAACAGTTTACTGAGCGGCTCATATTTGAAATGGAGCCGCGGTTTGTGTTTCGGAGGAGGTCTTCTGTCTCTAGAAATTCCTGCTCCGGCAGAACACGTCTGGAACTGAGCTTTTGCTCTTCCTCGTCCCCGTGTGCTCACGGGAGTTGTAGTTCACATGACAAAAAAGAAAGTGTACACTTTGCGCTTTGCGTTTCCCCCTTATAACGCCATTGAATGAAAATAAATTATTGTAAAAGCTCTAGGTATTAATATAGTTAAAAAATATGCAACTTAATGTGTAAAAACGCATTCACTGCGCAATTATAAGGCACGTTCATGTTTGAATGTGCGTGTTGCCACCATTATGAGTTTAAAAAAAACAGACGTCTCACACTGTTTTAATGTCTGGGTACTGGAAGAGAAAACCTTATACGTTTGACATTTGAAACCCCATTGGCCATAAATGGCTAATCTTCATAAATATTGACAGCACATACTTGGACAAAAAAGATAAAGGATGCATGTTAGCGGTCGTCTGAGTCATTCAATTTAGCACAACGTAACAAAGACAAATTAACTTGTCAAAGACACTAATCAAACAGCAGACTTGCATTAGTTTTTCGAGAAGAAATGTGAGAATTTAGCCTTTAAAAATGTCATAACAGATTGGAATGCATTAAAACTTGATTTCTCATAATTCACCAATAGTTGAAGGAAGTTCAAACTTAGCTCTAAATAAACTCAGGCTAACAAAAAAAAGTTATTTTGGATGGTTAGACATTTATACTAGTTATCGGTAAAACAGTAACCGTGATATCACTACAGCGTGGGCCATTCCTCAAATTGTGTTCTTAAACATATTGATAATACTCCCTAATAAAAAAAAAACTGCAATGGATGGATAGACGGAGTTGGAAAACCTAACCAAGTTAACCACTGTTTTTAAAATTATCTCTGATGGCTTGCGTGCTGACGTGGCCCCATTTGACGTCACGACGTAACAAACCGGGCTAGCTTTGCCTCCACCGGTGAAGCCGTTCTGGTAGTAGCAACACTTTAGTTAGCCTGACATCTATTACTGACAGTAAGTCTGGGACGTCACGACGGTTTTGTGGATCGATACATTCTTCACCGGCTATCAAAATGATTTCACTCACAGATTCACAAAGTAAGAGCTGTTTCTGCTGTCCCACTTTTCTCTGTGGCATCAAACCTGGTTTAGCTCAGTGTACGAGGGTAACAGCTCAAATACTATTGGCTGAAAGCATGTGTACGTCATCGCAGTGTATTTACGATGTAAAGTAAATCTCTAGCCTGTTATAAAATATAGTATCAATGTAAAGTCTAAACTTATTTATTACTGTTTATATAAATGGCAGAATATATATTTGTCATAAAATAAAAGTGTTTAGTTTGTATTGTGTATTCTTAGCTACCGTCATATGATCACGTTAACCACAGTGAATAATTTGATCCAAACACATGCAGATGACTCTAACTTTTGTTCTCTTATCCTTGCAGAAATTGGGATTGGGCTGACAGGGTTTGGTGTGTTTTTCCTCTTCTTTGGAATGATGCTGTTCTTTGATAAAGCCCTCCTCGCCATTGGAAATGTGAGTCCATGTAGTTGTCTTTAAGCCAGAGTCTCTCACACAGCCTGAAAGCTGCTAACCTTGTAATGTCTTATGTTCCCTTGCAGATTCTGTTTGTGTCAGGCCTATCCTTCGTCATAGGCTTAGAGCGCACCTTCAGATTTTTCTTTCAGAGACATAAAGCTAAAGCCACCAGTTTCTTCCTGGGAGGAGTCTTAGTAGTTCTGATCGGATGGCCGATCATTGGAGTTATCCTGGAGGTCTATGGATTCTTCCTCTTGTTCAGGTCAGCAGAGGGAAAAGTCTCTTTGTCACCATCATCAGGGCTCAAGCCTCACCACCGTCTCGCTCTCTGTCTGCAGGGGATTCTTCCCGGTGGCGGTGGGATTCATCAGACGAGTTCCCGTGCTTGGATCGTTGCTCAGCTTACCAGGGATCAGTGCAGTAAGACAGACAATGAGTGCTCACTAATGACTTTACTATTTAAATTCTTTATAAATAGTTTTTGTGGATACATAGAAATACTTTTTCACTTTAATTCAAACACACACACCAGTTCTCAGAGAGCTTTTTTTTTCAAACTGGAAAGAAAGTATGCAGCCGATAATCTTAGTGAATCATCTTAAATTAGTATAATGATCTTCCCTGTGTTGACCCACACTCACCTGAATTTAACGCTGCTCTTTCGTTCTTACTCTTTTTCAGTTAGTGGACAAAATTGGCGAGAGCAACACAATGGTATAACAGAGAGCTGTGACCGCAGCCGTCAGCAGCTCCAGTATTTCTATGGTTTCTACAGATGGCTGTATATTTTGACCATTGCCACTCCGCAGCTGTGAATCCAAACATTTCTCTGCACAGTAGACACAAACGTGTCTATGGACATTCCACTGACTGAAGCAGTGTCTGACTGCAACTGGACGAAAATCAAAAAGACGTGCCCTTCAGCTTTCTTCCTCCTTTACTTATCATTCCTCTGTAATATTTATATACGGAATACTTTGGAGCACAGGACAGTTACAAGCTTTTGAAAGCATCCCGCTCTCGCCCGAGTGCGTTTCTTTTTAGGTTACCATGTGACGTGTTACTGGAATTTTGAACTTTGAATTAAATATGGTTGGGCTAAATTTTACGATAATGTGCACTGTTGTTTAAAAAAAGCAAAGCATATGTGATGGAAATGTTTTACTGTAACTTTTCTAAGTGCATACTTGAAATAAAGTGTTTTTTAAGTATAAATTGATGTTATTTTCTGCCTCAAGCGAGCATCTGACATGGTCTTTTGGATTTTGTGATGGTGCCACTGGTTTGTGTCAGATGTTAATCATTACAGTATCATTCATCTTAGAATGAGAATGCCTTGCAAGTGAATTAAAATTCATTGGGTAAAATCACGCCTGGAATTGTCCCACATGCATTCGTGCCAGTGCCAGTAATGTAATAATATAATTCCTTATTCAATGTGACATGTTCACGCTGTGACAAACCATTCCCGATCCATACAATTCATAGCTGAAAAATCAAATATTATCAGGGAAATGAAGAAAATCAGCCTTTAAAACCAAACCTAATTTTTCAAGAGAAGGAAACATGTAACAGTAACCCCATCTGCTTGTTATAGAACGCATCATGGCTCTGCTTTACAGCTTCGGGGCCCCTGCAGGTGGCTGCGGCCACACGCTCATTGACACGCTGTCAGCTCAGTGACCCCCGTGAAGACGCCACTGTTCACGACAGGCTCAGGAGTTCAAACTTCTCGTGTGTGCCTCCAATTAGTGCGCAGAGACAGCTTCGGCCGCACTTGTCACTCGGTCAGCTGGAATCCTCCCATAGGGGTGATTAAATTAAACTACCTATCAGCCTGATCAGTGACGCTCTGTGATGAGCTGACACATTTACTGGGTTTTAAAAAAAATGAGACCACTGCAGTTACACAGCAGCATGAGGCGTTGATCCAGCATTTCAGTGTGAGACCTGCAGGAGAACAGCGAGGAACCACATCAGTAAGCAAATATTACTATTATCAGAACAACTGTACTATCAGTAACGTAATGGCTGTTGTTTGTAGTTTACTTTTCTACTGATGCCCAATAATTCAACGGTAAATTAAAATATTGGACAATGTCGATCTAAGCAGCTATTTGCTCTCACTGTAAGTATTTTTTTGTATTTAATTGATGTAAGCAGATATCTATAAGTTTTTACTAAAAACATTGGGAGCAAATTACCTTATGAGGACATTTTTGTTGTTTCCATTGTAACTGCTTCCCTCAGGTGAAATTTTGTTTTTTGGTTTTACAGCCTGTGTCATCATACGGAGCTAAAACTGCCCAAAAATCTTTATGGTTACTTACATTTTGCCAGCAGCTGTAAGGCTGTAAAGGTGATGAACAAACTGAAATGAAAACATGCACCGCCAGGAACACTGACAAAGCTTCACTGTTACTTTTCTTACCGTCTTTACTCTCTCATTTTGTCGTTGCAGACTTCAACAATGTCTCTCAGTGTCTCAGTCACTCTGCTGGTGGTGTCCCTCTTATCTCAGGGTTGGGCTGCTCCGCAGGTGAGTCCACGCTGAGTGTACATTTGTGGTGTCTGCCGGTATGAAACTGACATAAAAGTGCTCTGTCTGCATTCTTCTCCAGAGGAGACACTGGACTCCTCAAGCAATCTTATACCTGAAAGGAGCACGTAAGAGAACACTCACAGCGGTAGAGATTGAGCTTAAATTGATTTTAAGCCCGTCATAGCCCGATGAAACTACTTTGAATGTTGGTCTGTTGCAGAGGGGCACCGCTCGGTGTTGGAGCGCAGCAGCAGAGAAGATGGGGACACATTACATTTAGGTGAGTCCAGTGGGATTCAAATCTACTGTGCAGAAACCTGCGTAACGGCAAGTGAATCCATCATAGCTTATTGGAAAATCACACTGCCAGTTTTTCTTTAAAATGTAGGACGGTAAATGTATTTGCTCGTTCCCATATGTTTTTATGGTCAGTTTATATTTCCAATTATAGACATGTCACGATGACCGTATAAAGAGAAAGATGTTCTCATCCTTTGCACAATAAATGATCAGTAAAATATTACGCGTATAACAACTGTGAAACGGCTCTTTGGCATAAAATTGCATATGTTTGAACAAACATTTGGTTTCCGGAGAAGATGAGGATAATGATTATCTCATACATCTTACACTTTTCCCTTCCTGATAGCTTTGTGGTTCTAATTTTCTTCTTCTCCAAGAATGCCTTGGTCATACACTTTGTTTGTTTCCCACAACGCTTTGCTCCGCTTCTCTTCAGTGAATTACAACCAGATCAGTGATGCACGGGTATCATCCTTGGCTGCCTTCATTTTTTGGGAGCTCCTTCTTCGAGCTGTGGAAGAGAGTAAAACCTCACTCATCATTACCTCCCTTCTATTTCAGCTCCATCTCAGCTGTTTTTCAAAGTCTCTGTCTATTTTCCCTCACAGGTGGAGGCGGGCGGGATGACTACCCAGACCATCAACAGCTGAATTTAGACCGTTTGTGAAGGCCATCAGCGACAACATCCACATATTTTCCTGCACTGTTGTGGCAAATGATTGATTGACAGATATCTTTGAAACTAGAGGAGGTTGTATTTTGGTCATAATTGTGAAGCAACAATAGATAAATAAAGAAATAAACAAATAAAGGCTCCGGGCGGTTCTCACACCATTCACTCATTCAGTCACATGTCATCACACTGACTGGCTGACGTCACTAAGAGTCATGTCTGGGTCACATAGAGGAGGCGATTTTGTTTCAAGACCCTCTGGGCGCGGGATTTAATGAAAAGAATAAAAAGGAAAAACTCCAGCACCAATAAGCTTGCTTTATTTCTTACCAAAGCATCATAAGTGACACACTGCAACACAGCTGAAGACCATGGACTCAGAGCATCTTAGTCAGTCTATGCCACCTTTGGTCTCCCTTTCGATGATTCTGAGCGTACGAGCTGACACCTACAGCTAGATCTGACAGATTAAACACCCAACACATAATCTACAGAGGACTGTGGGTGGAAGGTGCAGAATATGAAGCTTTGTGGTGAATTGTGAGGGCAGGAGGATGACACGGTAAATGACCAGCGGTCATAAAGATGCAGCTATGTGTCCCCCTAGTGTTCGGTTATACGTCCTGCAGGTCCCTCTGGATGTCCCACAGCGTGCTGGCGCTGGCCTGGAGCTGGGCCACCTCATCGTCCGTCAGGGTCATGTTGACCACACTGGACACCCCTCCGCCATTTAACACACAAGGCAGGCTCAGGTACACCTCGTCACAGATCCCATACATGCCCTGTTGGCGTAGGACAACAACATCAGGGGGCACGTTTTTAAAAGCCTCCAACAATTACAATTGTATAAATGAAAAGATGTAAGGTTATATATCCGTATGCAGGCAGAAAGGGTCAGGCGGGGAGGATCACCTCAGTTATATTGTTAACAAAGCAGGGTGTCAGAAAGTGGGAAAAAAGAAAATGGTAATAGAAATATTTTGGATCAACAGTTTTGATTTCCATACAGTGTGTCATGATTAACGTTTGGTTCCTCAAAATGTGGACATGAAAGATGTTTGATGGAGTAAATCAGTGAATGAGTGAACATGTGCATATGATCGTCCCTTACCTTCACCATGGTGGAGACGGGATGAATCCTGTTCATGTTCCTCATGAGGCTCTCCGTCAGGTCAGCCACGCTCAGGCCGATGGCCCAGTTGGTGTAACCCTTCAGCTTGATGACCTCGTAGGCACTGCCAGACACAGTAAAACACAACACACGGCTCAGGTATCATGAAGTCATGGTGGATCTTGGAGCTGCGTGACGGTTAAAAGTTTGGATATATTCAATTGCATTGAAGAAAAGACAGCAATAAGTGCATCGGAGAGCGAGAGTGTGACCACCGTGGAGATGACAGTCTGACAGAGAGATACAAAGGCCGTGTTGAGTTCCTAAGAAAATGTAAGCCTTTTCTATAAACTTAAAGCAATCTCTCCATTCTTGTTTCAAAATCACTGTTTTCACATCAGCAATGGCAGGCATTATGAATGGGCTAATTGGATAATTTTGAAACTGTAATCAAGATGTTTACCAAATATTATAAGGTAATAGGTGTTTCTCCTCATCCACGTAACTTTAAAAGTTAGAAAAAATGTAATTCAATCTAGTCCGCATAGGTAGTATCACTCTTGATGTATTTTTGCCCATTATCTTCAATCTGTTGAATGACTTTCTGCATCACTAAACAGACTGAATTGCAGTTACAAAAATTTAGTGTAGTGTACTGTGATATTTCCGCTCACAGGCACTTGAAGACATTTTGTGGCCCAGGGGATGTGCAAAACAAAAGCCAGAGCCCCTTGAAAGCAATTGCAAATGGTTTTAAGGTTAAGTCTTGTTTTAACCTCGCCTAATAATTTTCTTAATGCGCGACAGCACACAGCTTAGTTGAAAAGAGTCTTTAAGACACAAGAACTAAAACTGAATATCTGTGACAAAGACTGTCTAGAAGTGCTGTTACTGTATACTGTATGAGAAAAATATTTTATTCGAACATGTAACAGAGCAAAACATAACATAGGGCCGTCAACAAATAAATTATGGGCCCTTTGGGGACATGAAGCTTACCTGTCCACAACCATTTTGTGGGTTTCTTTCCAGTTCTCTTCGTCAGAATCCGTGCCGATCTGTGGGTTTAAGGTCTGCAGGTTGACTCCAGCCACATTAGTCCCGCTCCACACAGGCACTACACACACACATTTAGTGAAACCATCAAGCTTTGCACAAAGACTGAACACCTCACAGGGTCACAGTCCACACCATCATTTCTTGACAACCTAGTGCAATGCTTGTTTTTCCTTTTGCTGGCCCACAAGCAGCAGGGTCAGATCAGAAATGCCACCATCCTCACCACTGGTGTCTCCATGCTCTCCCAGGATCCATCCGTTGAAGCTGCTTGAGTGGATCCCCAGTTTGTCGGCCATCAGGAAGCGAAAGCGTGCCGAGTCTAGGTTGGTGCCGCTGCCGATGACGCGGTGCTTTGGAAGGCCGCTCAGTTTCCAGGTCACGTAGGTCAAAACGTCAACTGTTGGTCAGACAGGAGTGGCACTGAAATATGAGCACTGGCCATGTTTCTCAATGAAAGCAAAAAACAACTCTGGAAAGAAACTGAAACTTAGAGAGAGTACCTGGGTTGGAAACAACGATGATGATGCAGTCAGGGCTGTATCTGACTATTTGAGGGATGATGTGCTTAAAGATGTTGACATTTCTCTGGACAAGGTTCAGCCGGCTTTCGCCTTCCTGCTGACGGACCCCAGCCGTCACCACAACGATGCGGGAGTTGGCCGTAACCGAGTAGTCTGAAAAATGGAGAAAGAGACGCCATTATTTTGGATCAAGAATACTGGGGGATAAAATGATTTCTCAGGTCCTTGTTCAGGACTTGATTAATCCTAAAGAAAGGGTGCTGGCTGTCTGCAGATGAATGGCTCCATGAGCCTTTTCATACAGAAAACACAATATTTGTATGCCACCTCTGTTTGACCACACTTAAGCAGCGCTGTGACACGCTGTGTCGTCACTAAAAAATGTAAGCATCATAACCAGTTACTGGGACATGCTCTGCCATGCCAGGTCTCCCTTTCACTTCCTGTTTGTGACTGCTCTCGCTGTCAGGGGCACAACAGTTTTGACTCCTCCCATTTCCTCATTTTACTTTAAAAACAGGAAGCTGAAGCGAGAAGAAGACGCAACAGTCCGTTGTGCGAAATGTCCTTGGACCATTTGAAGCTACAAGTGTGGTGCATGAGTTCTTAGAAACTTGCCTTTAGATGCCACTATTTTAGGTGTTTTGAGGAAGAGGCTGCCATGCTGCAGGTCCATCATTTCTCCTTTTAGTTTGTCCTCTACCACGTCCACCAGAGCCAGCTCATCAGCCAGCTCCTGAAACACAACAGCAACCATCAGAGCCAACCTCCTCACCATGCAGCTGCCTTTTCCAGCTGGGTTTAAAAAAAAAAAAGTAATTTCATCCATTTTACTGACAGTAATACAGCATCACATGTCAGCTGTTTTTAAAGACCTGAGGAGTCATGTCTTTATCTCTGTGTTGTGTGCAGTCTATATTCAAGAGATTGGCAGTTGCCTTCAATATTCCTTCACATATTAAAACAGAAGAACAGAGCAGGAACTAGGAACAGCATGGGCCCTTGAATTTCTGTGGTCTATGTAATTTGAAAGTAAGTGAACACTATTCTGATGGTTGTGATTTACACTTTGAGCCAGTAGATGTCCTCTCTCCTTGCAGCTCGCACTAAAATAATGGTTCAGTCTCAACTTCCTTTGTAACAGGATGTTCACACAATGCAGTGTGTGTGTATTTGCATGTAAAGGTAATCTGCATGCTGGGTTAAGGCTTGCTACTCTTATTACCGCCGACGCAGGGATTTACTTCCTATTCAAGACGAAGAATTACATTTGCTTTAGTCAAAACTCAGTTTTAAAAAAAGTTTTCCTTTCAATGCAATTACATATGTCTGCTTTACTAAGGACAACAAGGGGAAATTATCAAGTTCAGAAGCCAGGAGATCAGTAATCTGGTGGCGGTTTAGGAGGATCCAGGGTATTACCCCATAGTGACAGCCGTTGATTGGAGGGTAATCTGAGTAAAAGGATAAACTGTGGGGCACTTACCCTGAGCAGGATGCTGACAGCACAGGCCATGCCAACCTGGCCCACACCCACAACTGTCACCTTATTCCTGGGGGGCTCGGGTGGGCCACTAAACAGTGGGGTGATCAGCTTATGCAAGATGGACGCCATCCTCAGTGCTGATGGGTGAAAACCAAAGAAATGAAAGGCGATAATCCAGTTACAACACCAGAGCTGACGGTCATATGACAAATGATGGATGACACGACAGAAGCAAAGCGTTCTGCACGTGGCCTCACATTCTCAAACTTCATAAATACTGCAGTCTTTCAAAATGTAGCCGAGCTTTAGATACAGCCTAACATTCACCCCCCTTCAGCACTCACAAAAGCATCCCTTCTTACAATTCTAAATCGGTCACAGCGTCTTACAAAATGTCTGAGCCAAAAATGAACCCTCTCTGCAGAGTTCACCTTGAAACAACATGCAGCCTGACAAAAAAACAGAAACAGCAGCAGTACTTGCTTTGATCGGCGAAGCTCCGAGCTGCAAGGTATAAATACCAGCATGTAATCAGCATGGCAAACTTGGTGGACGCCTAAAGTGTGTTCCCCACAGAGCTGCGTGCCCCCCAGCATCCACAACAGCTCACACAGTCACTGCTATCCAGAGTGTCTGGGCAGGTATCCGGTCAGCTGCAGCAGTACCTCAGAGGACATGTGACTCGGGGCCGGGTGGAGGAGTTGTGAGCTGCTCTGAGCTCCTCTTCTCTCCCTTCCCTCCACCCTCCTCCTCTCGTGAAGGATGGGGCATAGTAATCCGATGTCAGACCTGACTGACTGCAGCCTGTTTGAGGAGTTACATTAATCCCTTAACTCTGCTTCCATCTGCTGCACCTGCACTATCAATGACCACCAACTCGGCCTGGCGTAGAAAGTCCGTCAATATTCACTGATTTCTAATTTTCTGGCTTTAGAATTAATTTCGTGTCCTGCCAATGTGTGTGTCATCTCTTTGATGTATGCATAAAATAGAAACATCTAACATCAGTGAATGAATATTCATAGCCTGAAGAGACTTTGGATGACACTTGTGGAAATAGTAAATGACCATCTGCTGCTTATTTCAAGTGCTGTTAAGATATCTTTAAGATGAACTCATCTCTAAAAGGATATCAGAGGCACAGACGACACGTTCTCCCCGACAGTGGAACAGGGAGACTGTCCATCCATCATCCTTCAAAACTGGATTACCAACAAAGCGTGTAAACAATAGCAGGCATTGACTTGGCTTAGCATCAAGGTCAGGCCACGAGGGACACAGTTTTCATAAGGTTTACACAAGCACCACTGTCGTTTGATTAACTTAAAGAGAGCCAACAAGATTGCCTTTTTCCACCCCTCAACCCATGTGATGATGATCTTCAAAATAATAATCAGGCTATCGTTGAACTTGAACAAAAACAGTTGTGGTGGTCCTAGTGTCATTAACCTATCTGATGATGCATGGATGAGATAATGAACCATGCATGGAGCATAGACAAATGCTTCACACACATGTACAAGATACACTGTGCACTAAATAGATCTAAAGGCTGAAGGTTTGTTCTAATAAAATATTCCAACATTTTAGACTTAAAATTGTATTAATTAATACAATTGCAGTAATTAATTGCAGACCAAAATCTATTTTGGAAATCAAGGAAAACCAGTGACAACCCACGCTCTGCTCAAATGCAGTGAGAAATGTACCCTTATTAGATACATTTCTAATATCTGGTCAAAGAAGCCTGCCCCCAAAACAGCCTGCCTGTGATTAAGAGGAAGTTCTGTTTGGGCATCTGGAGATGAGCGGTGGATGCTGTCAACATCTACAGGAAGCAGACGTTAGACAGGACCCGTGTCTCTAGACAAACTAAAAACAACCAGCACTTGGACACAACTTGTGATGAGGTCATGATTAGGAGGGACGCACACCCAAGCTGAGTCCGCTCTGCTGTTGACATACATACAAATATATACAGATATATATTCACCAGACAAAATCCCTTCAGAAGATGATCCGTAATATTTCTCAGGTTTACCTTGGCCGTTTACCTTGTGTCTTGAGGCTCCGGCTTCTTTAATCTGGCTGCTTGTCCTTCTCTTAAAGCCACAGAGGGACTCGGCGGTGCTGTGTGCGTCCTCTTCCTGCTGTGCTGTCAGCCCGCAGCCTACTGGATTTAATTGACTAAGCCTCTCCATCCCCTTCAAAGTCTCAGTTTGGCACTTCTGCAGGTCACCTCAGTGTTGAATGTGGCACCAGGCACATTCAACACACATTTGCAGATGGTGAAATAAATAATCCTCCTCTTCTCACTCACAAATAGAGCATAGAAACGCTCTAAAGAAGGCAGAATAACAATGAGGGGGTTTTGGTTGAAGAGTCTTTAACTAATGCTGAAATCTTTCGTGTCTATAGAACAATTTGTTGTACAGCTGTAAACCAGCAGAGGGACACAAAAAACTGAGGGAGAAAACCGTTAGACTGTGAGAAGAACAGGCAGGACTGAGCCGGTTATAATCGGCCAGAATATGCCCTCAAGCTTGTTGTTACCTTTGCTTCAAACAAATGGCCAGCCAGTTTAAATCTTGTTGAGTTTTGATAAAGTTCAGCACCACCTAAACTCCTTAAAAAGTTACAAAAATGCTCCCCCCTCCCAATAAACAGCTGCCCGCAGAGGATTTATGAAGTTCAGGTTGTTGTGCTGAATGAACGGGCATTTTACCAAGATAATTTGATCACGTCTCTTATAAGACTCACCCCAACTTAAAGCTGGAGTCATGCAGTGACCTCAAGACCGGTAGATTCTTGCAAAGCTAACAAGAACATTTGAAGGAAATCCAATTAAATCTGTCACAGATGCTCACTTTGTCTGAAGGATCAGCTGAGGGGAATTTAACTGTCAAAGGGTAAGAGAGGGCCTCACAAAAAAAGGCTGGGATTTATACATTCATATGAAACTGGCAAAACCTGACATGAATATCTATTCAACACCTGATTTTAGTCCTCCCTAAACATAAAATATTTCTGCAAAAGAGTTAGTTTTCTCTGAGAAGAACAGATTAAAGTGGATAGCATGCTTTAAAAAAAAAAAAAAGGCTCCTAAAAAACAAGTTGGTAACAACCAAGTTTATTTCATGATACACAGCCTACGTTATCATAAATAAAAGAGATTCAAAATCCTTCCCCACATAACCCCTGTCATTTCTGTCCTTTGTGGGAGAGCTGCCCGACGATAAATCACTGGAGTTAAGTTAGCAAAGTTCAGATTAAGATACAGTATTACTTGCATGTATTACATATTGCTTTAAAATCTGCTATAAAAAGGTTGAACACACTGCTTTAGAAAAATATCAAAATAGAAACTAAACCCTGTCAGAAATATTTCGACCCCCATCACTGCTCCCTCCTAACCAATTCAAAGTATCCCACAGTGTCTTTACTTGTGGCAAATTTGTCCAAAGAGTTGTATAGTACCGACAAGAACACATTGTATTACTTTTTTTCTCCCCTCTGCAGATCTTCCATGTCTGGACGCATGCAGTCATAGTTGGGCTATGTGGGTGCACTACAACAGCCAGTCCTACACAGAGGACCGAAGGATCAGAAATCTTTCAACATAATTCAAACAAAAGCAAAAGCACAACAGAGCACTAAAACTCAAGACATGTAAGCTTAAATGGGCATACTGGTAAAGATGGGAAAAAAAGAAGATAATCAAATGCTGGTGTTACTTTACTTTGAGGATCATTCCTCACATATATGGCAGTTTTTCAATTTTGATACAAATACTTCATTTTTGCAAAAGCTTCAGAATTTTTATTTTTCATAATCGCAGAACTTGAGATGGAAAAAAAAGGAAAAAGATGTTGAATAAATTGATAGGGCTGAATTTCCTCATGCAGTGATGTGTCCTGATTCTACCACGAGTCTCCTCCCACCAAAGACCACATTAAACAGTTGGAACTGAATCGACCTGAGCACCTTAAAACAAATGAATCACTCTAAATACCTCTAAAACTACAAAGCAAACGTTTGAAGTCGACACAGAAAAATAGAGACATTCTGGCATTAGTAGAAGCGCTGCTTTGTGCATTTAAGAAAAAAAAATAATGAAAAAAGGGAGGCGCTAAGTGCTAACAAGTGTCCAGGCACTTCACCATCAGAAAAACACCTGGCACAGAGCATTTGAAGAAAAACTACAGTATGACTGTCAAAAACTACAACCATGCATGGATAAACTGGCCTCTTTTTGCTGCTCTCGTTTCTACATTTAAGGGTTAATAACACACAAAGACACAAACAGTTCACAGATTAAAATCAACATCAAATTAGTCTCTCTTTGACTGCCACGAAACAGTGTTATCCAGAAGCTACTGAGCACCCCCCCCTCTGCGGCAGGAGGAAAGCTGGAGTCCGGCAAATAGAAAGTTCTGCATTTTCAATTCAACCTGTGTTCTTAGTCCAAATGTGGAGGAGAAAAGAGGACATGATCCGAGTTCGCTGTTTGAAGTGGTGGCGTTGGGTGGCAGGGAGGCGTGGCGACGGACTGCTGAGGGTCTCTAATTGCCGGCGCTCTTTGTGACAGCGCCGCTGCCCATGCCCAGGTAGGAGGCCGCCGTCTCGCCGGCGCTTTGGAGCGGGACCAGCACGCTGTCCAGGAGGCCTCTGAGGGCGCTGACCTGATCAGAATCCAGGTTCTGATAGGCGTAGAAGAGAGCCCCGCACGCCGCCACCAGGAGCAGCAGCCTGAGCAGAGTGGACAGGAAGCCCCGCCGGACGGGCGCGCTGCCCGAGGGGGCGGGGCCGCTCGGCCGGGACAGCACCTCCGAGTACGAGCGGGTCTCGGAGTGGACGGTGCGCTGCACCCGGGACTCATCCAGCCAGTACTCACTTGGTTTCAGAGGTCGACCGGCCGCTCCTCTGATTGGACGTCTGCATGTTGCACTGATGGCAAACAACACAATCATTTTAGATCATATTGGGAATACCCAGACATATTCAAAAGGTTGGACACGGGCGAGCATCTAGAAAATTGAGACGATTGTTAGCAGGAAAAACCCATTGAACCTTACCTGATGCCCGTTGGTGTGCTTATCTCATTGGCAAGAATATCTTCAACCACACTCTCGCTGACCTTTTTGGGGGTCTCTTCTGTAATAAGCTCCTCCTCCACCACCTGCCAATGGAACGTCAGACATGTTCATACAACTCAAGACTAAGTTCCAGTCGCACAGATTTAGGAAGAGATTGGATTCTTCTGAGGATGTTAATGATATAAGTGGGAGAGCTTCACCTTGGTTTGCCGTCTACTGCTGGTTCTGACGGTGACAGGAGTTTTCCCTCTGCTCCTCACGGGCTTCTCCACTACTGGAACCGGCTCAGGTTCGGGGGCAGCAATCTCTTCTGAAAAACACAGAGCTTGTGTGACCACACTAGTTTACTGATTTTTAACATCTCCCAACTTCGCAATGGACGTGAGGATTGAAAACGCCACGGGGGAGGTGGTGAGAGCTCACCGTCTTCTTTATCACTGTACTGGTCGGAATTCGTGTTGCCGTTCTGGTTGCTGTCGGCCTTGGGGAGAGTCGTGACATCGGCTGGGGCTTCAGGTTCGGCCGCCGGCTCGACCAAAAGCTTCTGCAGCTTCTTCTCGTACACCTTACGAGTAGAGCCTGACAGGATGGAGAAAGAGGTATTATATAAAGGGGGAAAAGCAACAAGCTTTACTTTTACTTCAGCAAAATCAAAATATTTCAGTTTAGCTACTTTAACCCAGTCAAATCTGGGCTTTGCTGCCCAGTGAGTTGTTTCCCCTTGTCAAGAACAACCAAACAGTTCTGGTCATGGACAGTACTCCCTAAACATGACTGCTGTCAGTTCTTTATTATTACACTGAGGTGTTGTGCACATCTTAGTAGCCATTATAATTATGTGCCACAGTTAAACAGGTGTCAGATAATAGGCTATCATAAAACTGTTCTAACTCACAATATTTGAGTCACATATGATGCCACAAATATGTTGGTATAATAAAAACTGTACATAGATTTACGTATAAAAGTTTTTTTTCTTTTCCGATAAGGAAATTTGGGTAAGAGTTCATGGCGGCTGAAGATGATGTTACACTTCAGGATAGTTCATTAAATATTTCTTATTACAGACACTAAAAAAGCAAACGAAGAAAATGTTTTTATATTTGTATATATATAATTAACTAGCCTTGTCTGTTCTACCACAAAGGCGTTATTATATAGTTATATGCTCAGTTTGTTTTAATAAATCTAGGAGGATTGCCGTGTTTACACAAACGCTGAGTTTAATTAATTAAAGTTATACATCTCTAAGTTTGTCTATAAACCGTCTGTTTTTCCCCCTATCCCATTAATTTAAAGCGTACATCCGGGCACTCACCGACAATGGGTCCCGTGTCCACACCATGCTTTGCCAGCTGTTGTTTTAAATCTTCATCCGAGATATCTGTCACCTCCACTTCCTCCGTGCGAGGCTTGTCAGTCTTTTTAGTAGCTTTCTAATAAATAAAAAAAAGAGGAGAGATAAATGATGGATCCAAAATTGCGCCCAAAGTAGCAAACCGAAACTTCCACAAGCTCAAGAAACAGTGTGATATAGTTGGAACACGATAAGAAAACACTTCAAAGTCTACACTCACTCTTCCAGAGCGGCTTTTGTTGGACACCACGGGTGTAGGTAACTCCTCATCGCTGGAGAAGGTGTCTGCTGGCGGACTCTTCTTGTTGTTCAGTATAGTCAGGTTCTTCAGATACAACTGCACGTACACTTCTTTCTTGTGCTCTCCGCTGGGAAGTGGCACATTGTTTGCCGTGAGCTCGGTTTTCAGCTTATCTTTCGTGAGAACCGACGGATCTTCCAGGAATTCTGCCATGCTAACTTATTTTCAAATCACTTTGCGCTTCCCTGCCTTGCAGCTTGCCGCTGACGGTAATAAGATTGCCCGGTGAACCGCTTCAAAAAGAAAAAAAACCGCACCAGGAACGTGAGCGAATCGCGCTGTTGTCAAACAGAAGTGGCGCCTTCCCGCTGCCAATTCAGCTAACAGTACAGAGACGGTTTGTCTAAATTAACGTCACGTGCTGCTTTTTAGCCTAAGAGCGAAAACGCTTATGGGTAGTTTCAAATTTTCGAAAACAGATCCAACCACGCGCTGAGGATTAAACCCTTGCAGGAATTTAAAACAACTAGCTACAAATGAACGGAATTAGCTTAGCTTACAACCGGTCTACTTGCTTCTGTCTGCCCGCGGTCGCAACAGGACCAGAAAACAAGGTCCCCCGTGATTGGACGAAGCGATGTAGTAAGACGCAATATGATTGGTGTGCTTATAATGGCTCGCCTGCAAGTCCCCGCCACAAAGGAACCGGAGGTTGTGCGATCAGACACAACTGCGTTTAAATAAATCCTGTCAAAGATAACTGAAATCCTATTTAAATTTGTGGTTAATAGTCGCCCGATTATTATCTGATATCAAACATGGGAATTAAAGTTACTCAAATGTATTATATTATAAGAGAACAATGGCGTTAACGATCTAGTGGCACTAAACGGAATGGTCCATATGGCTGACCGCTCATTCTGACGTGTTTATCGCAGGTTTTAGGCATTATCCTAATGCTTTATAACAATCAGCTAATTCCGATTGTAACTACAAGGTCTTAAAGATCCAAGCTGACAAAAAGGGTGTAATTGGCTTTATAATGCGATTTAGATTACAGCTGCCTCTGTAACAGAAGGGGGCAGCATAACCATTCGCTTCCAAACAGGGTTTTGTCCACTTCAACTGAAACCTTTTAGCTCACAAATACAGCAATGAAAGACATTTCGCAAACGCAATTGGGTGTAGAATAAACTGAGGTTTCACTGGCCGTTTTAGAGATATTAAGTTGTGAGAGGATCATTTTCAGTTTTAAACACAAATCTTGTACATCAAGATTAAAAACACAAATAAAGAGGAAGGAACGGGAAGACTTAAAAGAAGGGTCAACATTAGGTTAATCATGGCCTTTTAAAGCTACATCATAAACACACTCAGGTGGTAGTTTAAAATACATTTTATAATAGATATTTTCATTCTCGGGATGCCTGCACCAAGAGAGGAGGAAAACAAATGTTATGTTGTCTTGCAGTCATTGTGAAAAAGTAATCTAACTATTGACAACAGCTTTTCTCAGATGTGGCAGTGTCTCTACATGTTCTGTGTATATTGTGTCTTTCCACAGGTTGGTCTCTTAACACTATACCCTCTGGCTGTGGGGACAGTGGTTTGAGGTGCCACCATGTGACTCCCCACCTGTCCTTCAGACGTGCCTAGTTTGGGCTTTCTGGGATGCTGCTCCAGAAACCAAGAGATTGATCCTTGCCTCAGCCCCAAACCGCACTAAGACACAGCACTTCAAGTACAGTTCAGCTTTTCCATAGTGGATTTGCCAATGGAGTGTAAGCATAAAAAATGTTGAGCCCTTGAGAAACACCTCTTAAGCTTTCTTTGTATGTAATTTACACAGAAAATACGGCTCAGGCCAAGAATCATAGAGAGTGCCTCTTTAAGCATAACAGTCATGGCCTCTGAAAAATGATCAAAGCATACTCTTTAATCGTCAAGATTCACATTTTCAGAATGAGTTCATTTGAAATGGAACTGCTCCATCTGATGTCAACCGGTCTGTATATTTGACGACATTTCTTGACAGACGATTCCTAAATAAATCTCAAGTACAAATTAAACAACCGGCTAGAGACAGACAAAAGCAATTTATTTGAAAATAACAACCAGTGAACAGTAACAGAAAGTTGAAAAGGCAATTGAATTATTAAATGCTTTGTTATGTTTGGAAAAGATGGCGCATCTCAAATGACCATGAACTCCAATGACCACGCTCTAAAAGAGGATTTCTGATCATTTAGAAAAATGTTGAACACAGACTCCTCAGTTGAGTTTATCTTGGATTTTTAGACATTTCTAAATCCCAGTTGAGCCAACCACAAAAGTACCTTAGGAAAAGTCAACCTTTACCACCCAGAGAATGTCTGATCCAATTCCACTGACACAACAAAATACATACTAGTGAAATTAATCAATGCTACACAGTTTCAGCACACTGTAAGACAACAGGCGGGCCTGCTTTAGGGTATACCTCTGTTGCTTGATCCAGAAGTATGTTGTTTAACAGAATTTAAACCTTAAGATCCTTAGATTATTACATGACCAGAGCACTTGAATTACCGTGCAGTACCGTTTGTTTTTTCTCTTTTTTTCTTCAGAAAGTCAGTTTTCCTGCACTAATTTATCACAACAATCTCTAATCCTCTAAGGATATTATTACTCACTGCTAAACTAATTCCAAGTCCTGGGCAGTTTCCTGTGTTTAAAAAAAAAAAAAGGAGGGTAAGATGCGGGCACACAGGAGAAGTGTGTTTCACCAGAGTTGTGTGTCCTTGCCTTAGAACAACCATCTAGTAATTCTCACGCAGTAATTTTCATCTGTTGACAATCCAAACTCTGTATAAAGGACACACACTTAGTTGTAGACTTTTCTGTCAAAGGAAAAAGTCTTAGGCCTTGTGATGCCTGTTTGGCAACCTGCCTATTTCTTTTTTTCAAAAGTGCTCCTTCATTTATTTGTATTATTAAAAGGATTTGCACTTTCCCCATTTTATTTGGTCATTCAGTTAAACAGATGCTTGTTTGTCTCCTTTCTAAACTTTAGGCAAACCTTATTGTGTGAATTAAAAGGTCCACAATGAGGCACCCAATTGACATCATGTTGGATATTCTGGAAAACTACCATAAGTCATCCATCTACATAATATGGTGTAACTTCTATTACTGTAACGTAAGGACAGACACGGCCTATACTGAAACCCACTGAATGTTTCCTCCAGTTGCTGGTAAGTTATGAGGCTTTACTGCGAATGTTACATCTTTACACGTGGAAAAACTTGTCTAAAAAACTGGTGCAAAATGACTCATATGGTTTGTTAAAGAATCAACATTACTTTTTTGTCCTTGCAGCTCATTTTCATTACATTTGGAAAAGTTAAACTTTAACCAGTTGTATAGTCAATATTTCTATAATCATTTATTTTCCCCAATATCGTTCCAAGTTTTGCTGATTTAGTTGTTGTGTTTTCTACGGACAGGACTTCTTTAGTACCAGAACAACCAATGAGGTTACCCACAAAATATGAAAGCAACAGAAAACTGTGGAAGCAAATAGGTAATTGGTAATATTGCATGTGGAAGATAAGATTAGCAACTTTTAGCAGCTGGTCCAATGTTAATGTTACATTAACAGCTTGTTCTGCTTCTCCCCAGAAGTTAAAATGTTCCTGTTGATCCCACCTGAATCCTTTTGGGGTGTATGGCACAGACACAATGCGAAATTCTGTAATTCAATATTATTGGTTTTCAAGGGGTCCAAAATACTCAAGTCTTGAACTTTTTGTTTTCAAATGTGTGCAGAGGGCTTTTAAATAGCACACACCTAGTGTAAAATGGTAGAATATACAAAAAACCTCCTGACCTTCCAGGTTCATCAAGGAGTAAGTCTTTTTTTAATGTCCCTGACATGGCTGAACCGAGTGGCTGATGGATCATGACTAAAGAGAGAGGGCGACCTCACACAGGTGAGTGCCAGACTCAACAGGAATTAACAGGAAAGAAATATTTCCGTGCTTGACTTGGCTGAAGCTCCTCACAGATCTGCCTCTGCTAGTTTTTCTGTCTGAGCACTGGTACCAGACCAGTTTGGGAAGAGCCAAGGGCTGATTAATCCTTTAGTGGGAATCTTAGGTCACAGGACCATAATTCAAGAGGGATGTTACCGGTCATAAGCGTAAAGCTAATGCAGTGACTGAGAAATGGACAATTGGAGACCCAATAGCGTTCAAGAACATGGCAACAACTCAATGCTCCATGTTTCGTTTGTTTGTTGGCATGGCCTAAATTCAATTTCCAACTAAGTATCAAACAGGATACGGAGTGGAATTTTATCAAAGCTGACAACAAGAGACCTCTTTGGGGAGCTTTGTGTGAGGTGCCTCCATAGATTGACTTTACTGGGCCTGTAATTTCCTTACTAGTCGATATGGGGGTTTTCTGGTTTAAAGTTATTCTAAGTAATAGCTCTCAGCTTCATATTCACTGCAGCCAACATAAACCCGGTACTTAAGCAGGTATATTCTTATCTTTACAATCTTGAAAATGGAAACCTGTGGGCCTCAGTGTCTTGCTGGCAGAGCGAACGACTCTTCAGCTGGACACTGCAGAAATATTTGGTAAGTAGCCTAGGAGGTGCATCATGTGGGGAAAAGGCACTTGCCTTCATGTTTACCATTCTTCCAGGAGGCAGTCTTGAAGTTTGGAATCTTGTAGCAGCTCATAGTTTTGGGTAGTAAAACACCAGGGGCCTATCGATGCTCTGAAGCTTCGCAGCGTGGCTCATCCGTGCCAGCGGTAAAGGACAAATGTGCCAAAGTCTGCGAGGTTTGGCTCCTTTCTCACCCCCTGGCGTCCAACATTGATATATCCAGCTGAGGTACAATAATTTGACACCTTTTAAGCAGCTGGACCCTTTAGCGTGACAACCACTGCTTTGTTTTATATTCCTGCCTATTTTGAATGCAATAAAGAATTACAGTCAGCAACATCTAAACTGTGTTTTTATCCACATTGGACTTCTGCCCCTCCACACCCCCTTCAATCTCCTTTATCCCTCCCTTTCCTATGTGGGATTTAACGTACACTTTGTGGTAACCTTGCTAAGTTATCAGTTTTTTCTATGTTCTCTCACACTGAATAAAGGCTTGTTTCTCTGTGCTTGCTTGTTAAGACTTCAAGGACAGCTCCCTCCATCTGGTATTAAGTATTGCTGGTGCCAGTGTCGTGTTAACTGACACTCCTGCACTTAAACTAATGGCAGCGAACAGTCATCTCCCACGAGGTGCTCACCTTGGAAAAAAAAATCACCAAGCTCCCTCATCCTCAATCACAGTGGTGCTCTCGCCACCCACTGAATGAGAGCATGGGCATGAAAAGAGGGATTGTTTCACTATTCAGGCATATATAAGGGCAAATGAAAACATGTAATACGCATGTCCTGTCTTGGGTTTGCTGCACCCGCCACCCACCCCCCCCAACGTTCAATGAGAAGTGAGAAGACTGGAGCAAAAAGAAAGAATCAGCAAGTCATCCCATAGGACTTTTCTTGTTTTTTTGTGGTAGTTATTTCGATGAAAAGTCTCAAATGGGATGAAAGTTTGTAAAATAAATGTGACAATTAATCTATTATCATGATTAACCAGTTTTGAGCAGAATTTTTGGCCAAGTGCTCGTTAGTTAGATTTACATTAGTTTACATTCACATCTAGCCAAATTAAGTATCGGTATAGAGATGTTCTCATATAGTTTTAAAGTCTTGTGCATTGTCACATTTGAAAGATCTGACCAACTTCAGCAGCAGGCTGCGGGATAGTCGTCTACAGGTGACACCAGCGAAACACCTCAGAGACCTATGGAGAGCAGCATCTTTGCCGTCCTCCTCTGAACTCCCGTCTGAATGGAAACCTAAACAGCTTTTTAAGAATGAAGTTTCTTGTTTTGTTGCTATATATAGACCACCTGGTGGGAGGTGGCAGGTACCAGAGCCAT